TAAATAGAGTCATCTATCAGGACTTCAATCAAAATATGATTGGATGTCATGTGGGAAAATAATTAAATAGGCTGAAGAAGGTGATTAGGAAAAAGTTGTGAAGAGGGTAAGGTATGGTTTAACAGGTTGCATAAGTGGTCTGGAAAGAAATAACTAATAGAGTTCATCAAAGATTGATCTTGGGACCACTACTATTCAATAAATTAATTAGCAATTCCAGCATAAAATTTAGGACCTTGCTATTGAAATATGCTGCTGACACAGAACCTGTAAGCAGTTAGTAGTGTGAAGGATCTGGATAACATATTGGAACTGGAACAACAGAGAGAAAATATAAATGTGATGTATTCTTGAACAGGAAAATGCCATACCACCATGTATCAGTGTACTGGGTTTGCACGGCAAGGTTTTGTTAGCGGGGGGTACAGGGGTGGCTTCTGTGAGAAGCTGCCAGCAGCTTCCCCCGTGCCCGATGGAGCCAACGCCAGCCGGCTCCGAGACGGACCCGCCGCTGGCCAAGGCCGAGCCCAGCAGCGACGGTGGCAGCACCTCTGGGATCGTGTATTTAAGAAGGGGGAAAAGAAAACTCTGCAGCTGGAGAGAGGAGTGAGAATATGTGAGAGCAACGAGCGTGCAGACACCGAGGTCGGGAAGCAGGAGGGGCAGGAGGGGCTGCAGGGGCCGGAGCAGAGATTCCCCTGCAGCCCGTGGGGCAGCCCATGGCGAGGCAGGCTGTGCCCTGCACCCAGGGAGGTCCAGGGGGGAGCAGATGCCCACCTGCAGCCCGGGGAGGACCCCACGCCAGAGCAGGGGGATGTGCCCAAAGGAGGCCGGGACCCCGTGGGAAGCCCAGGCTGGAGCAGGCTCCTGGCAGGACCTGCGGCCCCGTGGAGAGAGGAGCCCACGCTGGAGCAGGTTTGCTGGCAGGAGCTGTGACCCCGTGGGGGACCCACGCTGGAGCAGTCTGCTCCTGGAGGGTGCACCCCGTGGGAGGGACCCACGCTGGAGCAGTTCTGAAGAGCTGCAGCCCGTGGGCAGGACTCCCGTGGGAGAAGTTCATGGAGGACTGTCTCCCGGGGGAGGGACCCCACGCTGGAGCAGGGGCAGAGTGTGAGGAGTCCTCCCCCTGAGGAGGAGGGAGCCGCAGAGACAAGGGGTGAGGAACTGACCACAACCCCCATTCCCCGTCCCCCTGCGCCGCTGGCGGGGAGGAGGGAGAGAAATCGGGAGTGAAGTTGAGACCAGGAAGAAGGGAGGGGTGGGGGAAGGTGTTTTTTTAAGATTTGGTTTATTTCTCATTATCTTACTCTGATTTGATTGGTAGTAAATTAAATTATTTTTTTTCCCCAAGTCAGGTCTGTTTTGCCCATGACGGTAATTGCTGAGTGATCTCCCTGTCCTTACCTTGACCCACCATCCTTTAGTTATATTTCCTCTCCCCTGTCCAGCTGAGGAGGGGATTGACAGAGCAGTTTTGGTGGGCACCTGGCATCCAGCCAGGGTCAACCCACCACAATCAGAGAATATATTTCCAACAGAGATAGATTAGGCATTAATGATATTCCACAAGACTGCTAACATCTAAATTTGGATGTTCACCCACATTCAAAAAAGATTAATACCAATAGGAATAGGCAGAAGAAAAGTTTTACTAGGCTAACACAGGAAATGGAGTGCTATTGCCTGAGATTGCCTGGCTCACATAATTAATAAAATTTGAGAGGGAATCTGTACCTTATAATTTTTTTCAGTTACACATTGTCAGAAGGAGGAAGAAGAGCTCATGAAGATAAGGCAGTAACTGCAAAAGGACAGCTGTGCATAAAACCAGGTATGAAATACAGTAAATCTGGAAACTAGAAGTTAGAAGAAGGTTTCCAAATGCCGGAGGAGTGAATTTTTGGAACAGCTTCCTAATTCAGTGTGGGACTCCCCAGACTCCTAACTAGCTAATTTAAAGACAGATCTTGAAGAGTTTCCAAAAAGAACCACACTGCCCTGTCTGCAGTCATGGGAGACAGACTGAATGGCACAGGCAGCTTTTTCCAGTTCAGTGTTCCTAAGATTTGGAAACAGTGAGGAGTCTAAGAAGAGCAAAGGTTGATGTCAGTGTTTTAAGTTAACTGAAAGGAATGAGATTTGAGAATTGAATTGAGGTAGAATGACAGATGGGTTTGATGCTAACTATAGGTTTTACTTGTTTGTCTATAAATTACTTGATAAAGGTATAAAAATTACTATTGACTTTGTGCACAATCATTAGAGATCATGTGTTAATCAGATATTTTTCACTGTCTTGTAGCAGCCAAGATGGTTTAGTAGGACCCTGAGCTCTTAGTTTATTTTTTTCCACAGCTGGCTCATCAATCCATTCCTAGAGAGATCAGGATTACTTCCTGCAGTATACTCAGTTGTTTCCGGAGATGAACCAACTATTTGTTATTGTGACTTAAAATTAGACCAGAAAATTTTCCCTTCCACATTTAAATGACGTTTGAAGATCATGCTAACATGCCAAAGCAAGGGAATGCAAATCTCCGGCCTAACATTCAGTTTTTAAACAACACTTCTGTGACTTTTCTGGGAAGTAATTCAAATAACAATAATACTTATCACTACTGTGCATGGTGCTTTTCATCTTCAAAGCGCTTTACAAATATTTACTGCTAGTTAATCTGGAAAAAGTATGATTTTAAGGCCAGCTTCTGATAGCTTGTGTGACAAAGTTAATGTCATTTAAATCGAGTCTGTTTGTATTTAATAGGATAGAACTACAGTACTTTAGTTTAAACACTATTGTTCCATTAAAAGCCAATTACAGAAATTCAGCTTTCCTTGAATTTATAGAGCACAGCTTTTCATTTTAAAAAAGATCTATCTAAACACTTCATCCGAATTTAGTCTTCATAATTCTAACTAATTGCATAACAGTCTTTTCACCCGGCTGCATAATGCAATTCGTTATGAGGAAATAAAACCCTGGCGCCGCTCTTGCGGGCAGTTCCGCCTGCGAGCAGCAGATAGCGCTCAAGATGTTTCCATTTATTAGAAGGACCCGAGATGGGACAAACTCCGATTTACCTGGCTCATCCCCGCACCGGGTGCTCAATCCCAGAGCCTCGCTCAGCAAAGCAGGGCGCTTCCTTGCAGTCGAGCCAATAACGGGTTCATTAACATCTGCAAAAAACCCTTAATTTCAGTACCATCGAAAATACCACCTTTCGATACTACACATATCCATAGCGGCATTTAGCTATTTTTTATCCAGGATGTAAAGGCAACTTTGGGAGTTAAATTCTAGTAGGGAAATCCTAACGTACTTTATGCTCATCGTTCTATATTAAAAATAATATCAAATGCTAGCACAACAGGTTGAAAACTACTAAAATGAACACTTTAAGAATAAATTTTAAATAGTGCTACAAAAAGTAACCCCATGAATTACACTGTAATATATTGACTCAGGGACAATCACTGTCTCAGTTTTTTCTCTGAATCTCTGGATCCGCTGCAAATGAACCCATTTTAGAGTTGTTTGGTTTATATGTAGTTTTCTTTGCTATAGATCAAGCACCTCTTCTGAACCCAAATGAGAGAACACGATTCATGGCTTGATTGCATCTACATTACATGTTTTATGAGACACTTAGCAGCAGAGCTAGGAAGGGGATATAACAGCTAAATAACCACAATCATTATCTGGTAAGATCATGGCTGCACTCACGTGCAATGAAAGGGCTTGCAAAGCTCTTTCCACTAGCAAGGATTTTAGTGGTTGAAAATACAAAGGTAGTCAAAATGTAACCTGAACACGGACGCAGTTAGAAGACGAGACAGGGCAACCGAGAATGAAGAGGAAACTAATCTGCGAATGGCAGGCAGGGTTTGGAAACCGAAACCGCCACCTCCAGTTCAGCCCAGTGGCAGAGAGCTGCCGTATCACATCACACCTGAATTACCGATTAGCAAACACCGGCGCTGCCAGGATGGGCGCAGCCCTTTCTGTTGCAGGTCAGGGTGCTGCCACCTCAATGCCAGCCTGCGTGGGAGCCATGTGTGCCGAACGTGGACGTGGGCTCCCTTTTGAACCCGGCTTCCCGCACTCAAAACTCTTTATTTCCCCTTTCCAGGCTGCTGCATTGCAAGGTTGTCACTCCTGCAGCTCGAAAGCACAGGAACAAAAGTTTCAGGCAGCTCACGCTTATCCCAAAAATGGGTCTGGAGTGTATACGTTATTAAATGGGTATAGCCTGAGGGTGGCTTCTTTGGAGACAGATTCTCCAGCCCTCTGGGCTCCCAGCACACCCGGGTGCCATTACCCGGGCCCCGCTTGCCTCGCAGCCCCAGCAGTTCCGCTCTTCCCCGCTCCCCCGCGCAGCCCAAGCCCCACACGAGAAGCCCACTCGAACTCGATCCTGTCCCCACAGCCGCTCGTGGGGACGCCGTCCCCAGCTGACAGACGTGGCATCCCCAGGGCAGGTTGAAGGGCCCGGCCGTCCCGCCACGCCTCCTCACCGCTGGGGAGAAGAAACACGCTGAGTTTCCCCACGCGGGCCACAGCTGCCCACCCGTGTGCGGGCGCCAGGTCCACCCGAAGGAGATGGGGCTGTGGCAGTGGGTTTGCTATAAAAACGGGGCCGGGGGAGGGCGTGGACGTTGAGTCGAACCCTTCACCTGCCTCTCCTCGCACCCCAGAGCGGGAAGCCAGCGGCAGGGCCGAGGCTCCCTGAGGGGAGGCAGCGCCGAGGTCTCTTCCCCAGCGGCGACGCCAGCGCCCGGCCCCGAGAACCGCCATTTCCCCCCCCCCCCCCCCACCAGGGTAGGGCGCCGGGGGGTGGCTGCGGGCGGAGGAGGGGCCGCCGAGTCTTTAAACTTTACCGGGGAGGGCCCGGGGCAGCGGGGTCTCCTCAGCTCCCGGCGGGGACGCGCCGCCCTCCTCCTTCTCCTCCACACCCCCCCCCCCCCCCCACACACACACACGCTCCCTCCTCCCGCCAGCGGCTCTCCACAACTTTGGGTAGTATCATGGCAGGCAGCGGGGCGGCGAGCTTCGGCCGCCGGCATGCCGCCGCGCCGCCGGTTCGCTGCGGGCTGTGAGGGGGGGTGTCCCCCTCCCCGCCCCCGCGGGGGGTGCCGCGGCCGCCCGGCCCGGCAGCGCCGCCGCCTTCCCGCCTTCTTCTTCTTCTTCTTCTTCCCGCCTCTCGCCCGCCATGGCCGCCCGCCGAGCCGAGCGGCGCGGCAGTGCCGGGGTCTCGCCGCTGCCTGCCAGCGCCCCGTGAGGGGGGACAAGCAGCGGGGCGGTGTGTCCCTGCGCTCAGTCCTGCCCGCCCCCCCCCCCCCCCCCCACCCGCCTCCTCCTCCTCCTCCTCCTCCCCGGAGCCGGAGATGTGCGAGACCCACGCGAGGGGAGTCGCCTCCTAGACCGGCAGCCAGGATGGTGCACCTGCAGCCCCTGCCCCTCGTCGTGGTCCAGGGCGTCCTCCAGCTCGTAAGTCTCCTTCTCCTCTCCCCCCCTGCCGCAAGACTTTTTTTTTTGGGGAGGGGGGGACCCGCGCCCTTCCCGCCCCGGGGAGGGCGGCAGGCGCAGCCTCTTTTGGAGGCAGAGGCAGGGCTCGCTCCGAGCAGCCCTCACCACACCGGCGGGCAGCCTCCCACAGCCCCACACCTATTTTTATCAATCTCTTATTTTTTTGGTGGTTGTTGTTTCTTTTTTGTTTGTTTGGGTTTTTTTTTTTTTGTTTGTTTGTTTGTTTGGTTTTTTTTTTCAGCGGGTCAGCTCTTTTCTGCACGTTTGCCGCTCGGGGCGGGGGGTTGTTTGGGACCGCGGGGCACTGAGGTGCCCGAGCAAAGAGGGGGGGCCGGGAACCACCCGAAACCGGCCTTCCCCAAAAGTTTTCCAGCTGTCCTCAAGTGCCTCTTCCCGTCGTGTAGGTAGAGTCACCCGCGCTTTGAACGCTCCCTCCTCACTCTCGCCTTGCTGCAGCGCACGCGAGGGGGTTTCTTAATTTGGGGTATAAACGGCCGCACACGCCGGTGGGATGCTACGTGTCCCCCCCGCGTGTGGTGGTGGGGAATGTGGAGGGGGGGGCCCTGACGCGGTGACCAGGTGAAATGCAGAGTTCAGAACTCAAAGCTGTGCAGGGGAGGGAAGCAAAGCGGGAGACAGGTACGTGAAGAGCACAACTTCTGCCTAAATCAGCAGATTGCCTCGTTTGTGGGGCACCGAGGGTAGAGAACGAATGGTCTAAATTGCATTTGCAAAAGAGTTTGGCTATCTTCACTTTAGTAAGTGCTATTAAAATGTTATTTGGACATTATATTGAAGGAGGTTTGTTTTTACTCCCTTAATTACCTCTGATTGGTGCTGCAAAAGTTATGCCTCTCTTCCCCAGCTGCCTTGTATCTGAAAGTTTGTCACTGTAGTCAATAGGGAGTGTATAATAAACCTTGAAGGGATTAAACACCCTCTTTAAGAACTGGAGTCTAATATTACAGCGTGAGTTGATTGATTAGTTTTTGAGGAAGCTTATGTCAAATTCTAATCCGGTTTTGGATTGTGCTTGTCGTGTAATGTTTTTTTGCTCCAGCACTTTATCATAGCAATGAAGTAGCGAGCTGCAGTCCTGCGATAAGGCACACATTTCTTTCACACTCCTATCCTTTTGGACAAGAAAAGGCTGTTTACATTCTTCACATTCTTGCAGCCCAGTTTCCAGCTAAACAATGCGCAGGGGTGCGAGATGGGAAAGGAAAGCAGCAAATGGATTACAAAGTTGCTGAGCAGAAGGGAACTAAATAAAAACATTTCTTCCTCACACCTACAACCTCTCACATTCGCTCACACCCTCCTTTTTGTTATTGTGCTTTTTTTGTTTGTGTTTTTTTCTTTGTTTTTTTTTTTTGTTTTTTTTGTGTGTGTGTTTTTTGAAACGGGTATCAAAGGGATTGATTGAAACTTGTATCGACAGGGATCGGGTTTGTTACACAATGTTTTATGGATGATGTGGGAAGTTGGATGCTGTGGTTTCACATGCCTTGAAAGAAGGCTAAATACTAAAGAAGCAAAGTTGCTGTCTTGAATCAAACAAAAATCATACATCGTCAGTGCAGGTTTTAAGGTGGATGTGGCACTCGGCTCACCTAGGAGTATTCATTTTTTCTGCTTTCTTTATACACAAACCGGTGAAGTTTTGGAATCAAGTAGTTTTATAGGTTACATAAATTAGTTTAAATAATAAATTAAAGCAAAATGAACATGTGTGAGATTTTGGAGTCATTTTAGGTATACCTATCAATGCTAATCTATTACTGAAAAGCTATGTAAATACGTTTTGGCACACTATTACTAGAACATCTGGTTAAAGTTACAGCTTATTATAAATTGAGTTGAGAAATATTTGATGTTGGTGCTAATATGCTGAATACAAGTCTCTGTGCTACTCTTTGTTTTCTGGCCAGTATTTGGAGGGTCTTGTGGCTTCCTGGAATGTAATTAACAGTTTTAGCAGGCAGGCATTGGTAGTACTAATTCCTGACTCTTTTTTTTTTTTTTTTTTTTTTTTAGCCAAAGATCAAAGTGGTCAATATTAATACAACACTAAAGGCTACAGCATTTCAGCCAAGAAAGAAAAATGTTGCATTCAGTGCTGCAATCAGCAGCATTCTAGTAACACAGAAATGCTACCATCAAACCCTTCCTGATGGTGCAATCTTATTCTTTTATGAAATCAGAGATGTTAGAATGCAGAATATTTTGGCATTGCATTTTAGTGGGGGTAGAAGTACTTTTTAAATTAGATTTAACTTCAAATGCTTGCTTGGCTTTCAAATACCAAAGTGTCTTACCTACTTACCTACTTCTTACATGCATAAATGTAGGTTAAAAACCATGTAAAACTTCACGAATTCGAGGAGGTGCTAAGGATTATGGCAGACAATCTCACTGAATTTCTGAAAGCAGGTGGTTGATTATATGCTGTACCTAATATTGATCAATCAGAAGTTCATGTTTAGTACTTAATAGAGTGTGGATGTATTTTTGTAGCATGTTCCTGGATTATTATTTTGATTAATAGATGGTTTACCAGTATGCATGCACAATGAACACATACATATTTCTTAAACTACTTTGCATATTTGGGCATATTAAACAGTAAGGAAGCCTGCTGTTGAGTCAGGTTAAGATGCTAACTTGTTTCTGTATAAATGCATTCATTTTAGATGTCAGGTTTACCTTACATTGTCAATATAGATCAAAACCATAATTTGCAATGCACAGTCAGTATGTCTGGGCCGTTATTGATAAGACAACCAAAAATTTTTGTATAATCATTAGTAGGTACTCTTGCTTTCCTATTAATTTTCAGTTAAGCTTTCAATTGTCACATAATTGCTGAATGCCCTGTTAGTTATGTCTCTACAAATAATGGAGTTCTACATGTTAGAAATTAAAAAGACCGAAATATTAAGATTATATTGTTTATAGTATGTCTGCTAGTGTTTTGTTAAGTTAGCTTTAAATGTCTTAAAGGGAGGGGTGCTTCTGTTACCTCCCTGGGAATATTATTTGTTATTTAAAAAAAAAAAATGTTGTTAGTATCCTGTATTTTCTTTTCCTGTTATTAATTTGCACCTTTAAAATGTCATGTTTCAGAGCATTGTTTAAAATAGCTTATATGAGGTCTTCAAAATGTATAGCATTTCCATCTTTCCTTTAAGAAAGAACGGGGGGGGGGGGGAGGGAAAATTGCTGTATACAGGGTTTGAATAAAGAAGCAGAGTTTGCTTTAGGTATAGATAGCTAGTATAGCCACTACTTTCTCTTTGTCTTGGCAAGGTATAATTACAGAAACACAGACAGGACCTGTGGTTCTGTAGGGTAATCGGGCACCTTAACTATTTGTTTATTCTTACATCTTTGCGGTCTGAATTTAAGAAAGGATTACAGCTTATTTTCTAGTGCCTATAGTTAAAGTTGCATCAACATTCCTATCAAGAAACTCTCTTCTAACATTATCATTGGGCAGAGTTGTCACCATGTTAGAAACCCAGGTATCAATTATTTTACTAACCCTTAAAAGCAGTTCATTTTTTCCCAGTAGTGTTTTTATAGATGAGAAATAATTAGGAAAAAAGACAATGTTAAGATTTTTTTTCCACCAAGACTGAAGTATAACATTTGATATGAGTGAAATTAAATGATAGATTGTTTGTCTTGGACTTTTCAATGGCTAAAATTTTAAACTATAACAAAAACCAATTTGTCAGACAATGAAGCCAAAATTTCTACAGAGTTTTGGTTTGTTATTTTTTGATTTTGTTTCCATTTTTAATACAATTTAAGGTTCTTAGCAAGTTTTTGGCTGAAGTTATTATAATACAAAACGTTGATTAATAAGCAGAAATAGCTTGAAAACCAAGATAAAGCTGCATTCCCATTTAAAATATGTATACCATGTGAGGCATAGAAACACAGAGGTATGTTCCTCCTGGCTACTTCAAGTTTGTCTCTCTAGCCTTGCAAACGTGGTCTGTGTAACAAGCCCTTGCAGCAAGAATCAGAAATAGGCACCATTCAAAACTCTCAACTCTGTTTTGGAAAGGTAAATGCTTCCCTCTGGTCATCCTGAAATTCCAACCTTTTTAATTTTCAGGGAGATCTTTCTCATGAAATATACTGGGCCCAACATTTCATTTGGTTTATTTTGGTATTTTTCTCAATGCTGTAGGCATTGTAAGACTATATCTCATTCTTGTGTAATAAAGTAATATAAGTAACCCAAGGAATGCAGGAAGTTTGAAGTTGAAGACAGCTCAACAAATGCTGGTTTCAGCACTTTGAGAATTTGTTATCCCAAATGAGGAGTTATGTCTTAAGGTGGACAGGGCTAGGTTTAGTTTACATATGAGGTTAACGTGCAACACTAAACTCAACTTGTCCTTACGTCACGTCTTTTGACCTAGTTCTGTGGAATTGGTGACTGATATTTTGCAGTTTATTTGCAGGTTGAGAGGGACACAGAAAGGTTATAGATCCTGTTTAAAATCTGTACAGCAAGTCTGTTTGACTGATGTACAGTAGACCACAAGATATCCCAGGCTTCCCTAACACAGGGCACATAAAATCCAAGTGTCATTCTTTCCATCTGTAATATGGAAAGTATTTCTTTGTCATTGTAAAGCACTTTGAGAGCTACATGTCAGATGTGTGCTGTAAGTACTTCTCGTTACTAGTAGCTCAGTGTAACTGGCAGGGAAGCGAATCTGAAAGATTGGTGGAGTGCAAACACTATATTGGGATGCACTGATCAGTCCCACCTTTCAGTTTTGCTTCCTGAGCCTTGGTTTCTGCAAGAAGGGAACTTGAGCATGGGAGTCAAAAGGGAGCAGCGGAAAGCACTTGCTGATCTGGACATTCAGGTCATCAGAGAGGTGCAACTCTGCTCTAGATGCACCATATTTCTTCTAGACTGTTGAAAATTTTTCCCT